GCTTTCTCTTGCAAGCTACTATATGCTGACACAATTCTACAGGATCTATGGCCATGTCATAATGTCAGGAAGCCCTAAATAAGAATGAGGGGGGGACCTACTGTCCTCCCCCCCGGCCCCCCACAACTGCGTGGTGGATGCAGGCCATAAATAACAATGAGGGGGGGAGACCAACTGTCCTCCCCCCCGGCCCCCACCCCTGAGCGGTGGGTGGGGGCCTTAAGTTAGAATAAGGGGGCCCTAAATAAAAATTTAACCCCCCTGTCACTCCCCTCCCCCCAAAAAATAACCCCTACTACCCCCCTCATCCTAAAAATAATGAGGGGGGACCCATATCTAAATAACTGTAAAATAAATAAATAAATTTACCATTTGATGTCTTCTTTCTTCTAAAATCTTCTTTTTTCAGCCCCAAAAAAGGCCAAATAATAATCCATAATAACCGACACACTTAAAAATTTTGTTTTTTTTAAATAAATCAATTTTCACCCATGGAGGGCTCCGGGCAGACTGAGCTCTGCAGGGTGGGGAAGGCTTATAAGCCATCCAAGAGACTGACAGGTAAGTCTCTACATTTACCTCTGATTGGTGGATTGAAAGTAAGCAATCAGAGAGTTATGAGTCAAATTACACAGCGTTGGAAAATCCCAAATAACTTTCCCACGCTATGCAAAATGACACAGAGCACTCCGATTGGCTGGATTTCAAGCAAACCAACCAGAGTGCTCAGTGTCACCCACCGCGCAGGGGTAGGGGCCAGGGGGGGAGGACAGTAGGTCCCCTCTCCTCATTGATATTTAGGGCTCCCACCCACCGCAAAGGGGTGGTGGCCGAGGGGGAGGACAGTAGGCCCCCCCTCATTGTTATTTAGGGCCCCCACCCACCGCGGTATAGTGAGTAGGGGCTGAATTTACTAATACTAAGTAATCCTTACTTAGTATTAGTAAATGTGGCTGAAAGACCGTGGGAATTAGGGAGTTATCTACTAAGCGGCTGATATTTTGTTATTTTATGTTATCTTAAGTGATTTCCCTATCCACATTTGTCTGCAGGGCACTTGTCCTACTCTTACCCCCATTTTACTTCCTTTTGTAGCCCTCTAGCCCTTTCCAGGACTTTTTTAGAGGCATTTTAGTGCCCAAAAGTCCGGGTCCCCATTGACTTCAATGGGGTTCGGGTTCGGGGTCACGTTCGAGCCGAACTCGAACTTTTGACGAAGTTCGGCCCAACTTGGCGAACCCGAACATCCAGGTGTCCGCTCAACTCTAGTCAGGATACTTGCCGAGGTCAGGGACACAGAATGGGACGCAACGATAAGGGAAAGCCAAAAATCAGGAATACCAGAATACAGGGAATTCAAACAGAAATAAATGCTCAGGAACATAGTCTCGGACAATCACTAAGGGAAACCACAGCAGGGCAATGAGGAAAAGTAAAACTGAGTTTAAATAAGCTCTTTACAAATTCGATTGGCCTTTGACCCCAGAACTTGCACGCACGTTTCCCATGTAACATCACACACACGCCGTCGTAGTCATTAACATGGGTGGACGTGGGGTTATAATAAGGTGTGGATCCACAGCGGCCGGCATCCATTAACATATTGCAGGAGTCAGTGATACAGATGCATGGCTGCTGAGCGCAAATACCACAAGGTGAGGAGGAATATGTTACACTATACCCATCTCCATTTTGATCTGAAAAACGAACTGCTCCCTAACTGTTAGCCAGCACGGGGCTATAACCATCTTCCAATTTCTGGCTACAAGTAGTTTGGCGGCAGTCAGAAGATGGATAACAATAAACGAGTCTAAGCCAAAAATTTTATAAAAATTGATATGGAGTAGGAGCAACTTGGGATCAAATTGAAAGGGTTTTTTGAGTAGTTTTTTAAATTTTAACATAAATCATATTCCAAAATAATTGGAGTGATTGACACTCCCACCAGATATGGAAATATGACCCTTTTTGGGCTTTTCATCGCCAGCATATGTCTGGGTAACTAGGATAAACCCTTGAGAGTCTGCTGGGAACCAAGTACCACCTGTTTAAAAGTTTAAAGTGGGTTTTGGTTAGATTTAAACAATTGACTTTCTTGTTAAACCATCTTAGCGATTCAGTCCAGTCGATCGTTTCGATCATAATATTTAGATCAAGTTCCAATTTTTTATCACCAGTCGAAGGAGTGGGTCTGCTTCATTGGTTAACAACTTTATAGAGTCAGCCACTATACCCTTTAATTGTGATTAAGAATTTTCTCTAAAAGTAGTATCTTTGGTGTCTTCTCTGTACTCAGGTAGTCCTCCAGATAACTCTTTATTCTAAGGTAGCTGAATATTTCACTCTTATGGAGTTGATAAATTCTAACCAAGGATGTGAAAGCTAGGATTTTATTGTTCTTTAGTAGATTGTCAATTTTTAATATTCCCAAAGAAATCCAGTCTTCTATATTGTATGCTAAATATGTAAGAGGAACTTCAGTTATAATTTTATTCTTAAGATGACAGTCAACTTTAAATTTTTCCAGGTCTTATAGAGATTTTTTTAATTATTATACTATCCTAAGACCCCCTTTCTGGATATTGTTTTACCTTTTTGACCCGTCAACCAAAAAATGGCCCCCCGCGAATGTGACCTTATGGGTTTAGTTAAAAAGGTCTCAATCTGATACTAAGCTTAATTTTTTACCCTTTGTAATTGGGTGATAATGGCATAGGATAGGCTGCAGGCTGACCATATGGTCTTAAGCTGGTGCACCCCTAATCCTCCCTGATTAATTTTCAGGGCCAGACGTTTAGAAGTAATACGAGGATGCTTACCTAGCCAGATGGATTTGTCAAATAAAGACTGGGCTAATTTTAACCAGCTGTCTGGACAATACACAGGAATAAAACGAAAAAGATTTAATAATTTGGGTAAAATATAAGACTTAATAACATTAATTAACACCCACCAGGAGAACTCTTTACCTTTCCATTGTTTCCATTATTTACCAGTATATTTTAAAAGGTGCATAAAGTTAACTTTCATTAGATTACACGGATCATTCGTTATTTCTACTCCTAGATATGAAAACAATGTAATATTACAAGAAAAAACTAAATTTACCTAGCAAATCTTTCATGATTTCATCAGATAGATTTATTGGTAATGCTGCAGATTTTTCAAGATTTAATTTAGAACCTGAAATATTTGAAAACTCTTCAATTATATGCATGAACCGCGTGAGAGATTGGACTGAACCACAGATGGTAAGAGCAACATCATCCACATACAAAGTGGTTTTAATCTGGTCAGAAAATCCCAAAGACCTTAATTTGTTGATCTGCTCTGATTGCAATTGCTAATGGTTCAATTACCATCAGGTATAAAATAGGCAAAAGTCGAAAGTGGGCAACCTTGTCTTGTGCCATTTGTTGTGTTGAATAAGTTGGAAGTAAAATCATACCCAATAACACGTGCTGAAGGGAAAGAATATAGAGATAATATTGCATTTAGAATGTTACCATGTAGACCAAAAGCTTCTAGTACATGCTTCAGATAATCCCATCTGACTCTGTTGAAGGCTTTCTCTGCATCCAGAGCCAGGAGGGGTATCTCCTCCCTACATGCCATATCGATGACATCAATGAGCCTTCTGACATTAAACATACAAAAATTAGACCCTATAAAGCCTGCCTGATCATTGTTTATAATAAAAGGAATCACAGTACTTAATCTAGAGGCAAGAATAGAAGAATACATTTTAACATCTACATTAAGTAGAGAAATTGGTCCGTAATTTGCTATATTTTCAGGATTCTTATTCTGTAGAGTGGAACCTCGGTCAACGAACGCCTCGGTAAACGAAAAATTCGGTTTACGAATGAGAATTCGTTAAAAAAAAGCCTTGGTTTACGAATTTTTTTGCAATACGAAACAAGTGTCCCGGTTTATAGCTCTGGCCCCTGCATACTGGAGTCTGGGTAGCACGTGAGTGTGTAGTGTGGAGGTGTTGGAGAGGTTTTGGAGCCATTTGCAGCAAGTTGTGGAGCCTTTTGGAGCCATTCGCAGCAAGTTTTGGAGCCTTTTTGGTGCATCTCAAGAGGTGGAAAGGTAGGGAGCTGAGCTTAGTTGTTTGCATGCCTTTTACTGTGTGTTCTGCATTGTGGGGTGATTTCCATGCCAGCTCATGTGCTGTGGATGCCTGTTACTTTGTGTTTAGCATTGTGGGGTTGTTTTCCATGCCAGCTCATGTGCTGTGCATGCCTGTTACTATGTGTTTAGCATTGTGGGGTTGTTTTCCATGCCAGCTCATGTGCTGTGCATGCCTGTCACAGCTCATATGCTGTGCATGCCTGTTACAGTACTGTACTGTGTGTTTTGCAACGTGGGGTTGTTTTCCATGCCAGCTCATGTGCTGTGCATGCCTGTCACAGCTCATGTGCTGTGCATGCCTGTTACAGTACTGTACTGTGTGTTTTGCAATGTGGGGTTGTTTTCCATGCCAGCTCATGTGCTGTGCATGCCTGTTACAGTACTTAATTGTGTGTTTTGCAATGTGGAGTTGTTTTCCATGCCAGATCATGTGCTGTGCATGCCTGTTACAGCTCATGTGCTGTGCATGGCTTTTACTGTGGTTTCCATGCCAGCTCATGTGCTGTGCATGCCTGTTACAGCTCATCTGCTATGCATGCCTGTTACAGCTCATCTGCTGTGCATGCCTGTTACAGCTCATCTGCTGTGCATGCCTGTTACAGCTCATGTGCTGTGCATGCCTTTTACTGTGGTTTCCATGCCAGCTCATGTGGGTGTAAAGCATTTTTTATTTTTTTTGCATACTTAGTGACGGTGGTGTCATGGCACCCAAGAAAGCAGCGGAAGCTGAGAAGAGGAAGAAGGAGATGATTCTGCTTGAGGACAAGAAAGAAATCATCAGGAAGCATGAAGGAGGAATGCGATTGACTGACCTTGCCAAAGAGTAAGGAAGGAGTGCATCCACAATCGGTACAATCCTAAAAATGAAAGAGAAGATAACTGGGAGAGATGCAGCCAAGGGAGTCACCACGGTCTCCAAGCAACGGCCACCTGTTCTGGAGGAGGTCGAGACGTTGATCCTGCTCTGGATTGAACAGAAGCAGCGTGCAGTGGACTCAGTGACCAAGGCGATCATCTGCGAAAAAGCCAAGGCCTTGCACGCTGACCTCCTCAAACAACAGCCAGGAACGTCAAGGCTTCAAGGCCAGCAGGGGGTGGTTCGAAAGGTTCAAGACCAGATCTGGCATCCACAGTGTGGCCAGGCATGGAGAGGCTTCAAGTTTCGATGTTGCTGCAGCTGAGGAATTTGCTACGGAGTTCCTGGAGGTCATAGTTTCAGAGGGCTACCTTCCTCAGCAGGTCTTCAACTGTGACGAGACTGGACTCTTCTGGAAGAGGATGCCAAAGCGTACCTTTATCACAGAAGAGGAGACCTCATTGCCTGGCCAATATGCACACCAAATCTTTGGAATAGAGATATCTGTGTAGGCATTCTCCTTAAAGAAATTATCAGTAGCTTATTTGATTGAATTCAGATTTTGCTTCTTATACAATAAAATGTTAAATCTCCAATTAGATCCAGTTATGACAGTTTTATCATAAAGAACCATGATATCTGCATTATGGTCAGACAAGCCAATGAAGGACCGTCTCACCCTCTTGCTCTGCGCCAACGCCAGTGGGGACCTTAAGATCAAGCCCCTGCCTGTCTACCATTCAGAGAACCCACAGGCCTTCAAGAAACACAAGGTGAACAAGGAGCAATTGAGCATTTTGTGGCAGTCTAACCCAAAGGCTTGGGTCACACGCCTCTTGTTTGTGAAGTGGGTCAATGCGGTTTTTGGTCCTGCTGTGAAGAAGTACCTTGTGGACAATAACCTGCCACTCAAGGCCATGCTGCTCATGGACAATGCTCCTGCCCATCCTCCAGGCCTTGAGGAAGACTTACTAGAGGACTTTAATTTCATCAAGGTCATGTTCCTTCCGCCTAACACCACCCCACTACTCCAGCCAATGGACCAGCAGGTCATCTCCAATTTTAAAAAACTCTACACATGGGAGCTTTTCAGGCGATGCTTTGAGGTGACAGATCGCTCAAGCCTCACCCTCCATGAATTTTGGAGAGAGCATTTTGGCATTGTGAGCTGTCTGCAGATTATCACCATTGCCTGGGCCGGGGTCAGCCAGACAAACCTAAATTCTGCTTGGCGCAACCTGTGGCCAGACTGTGTTGTGAAACCTGCCTCCAGTGCTTCTGCACCTGCACCTGAGTCAACAGTGTTGGAGGAAATTGTTTTCTTGGGGAGGACCATGGTCCTGGAGGTGACTGAAGAGGATGTCTATGAGCTGGTGGAGGACCGTGACCTAACCACCGAGGAGCTGGTGGAATTGTCTAAGGAGGCGATGGAGGAGCAGACCGCATTTGAGGAGAAAGAGGAAATGAGTGAGGAACAGCTCTCTTCCACGGAACTCAAGGAGGCATGGCAAATGTGGGTAAACCTACAGACTTTTGTACAGCAGCACCACCCAGAGAAGGCACTAGCCCACAGCCTTGTGAGCAGTTTTGACACAGACATCATGTCACCTTTCCGAGGGATGCTTAAAAGGCGCCAGAGGCAGCAGACAATGGAAAGGTTCCTACAAAAACAGCCTAGACATAAAGAAGAACCTGCTTGTGTTAGTGCTGCCCAATTGTCCTCGTCCTCCTCATCTTCCAAAAATTGTTAAAATTGTTTTGAAATATTCCATGTTTTCCCTGTTGACGTGTGATTTATGTACAGTTGAAGTGTACTGTACCATGTTACCAACAGTCTGCCATGTTTTAAAAGTTGATGTGTGATGTTTTAAAACATAAAGTTGGATGTTTGAAATGTTATTGCTTGATTAATCATGTCCCTGTGCAGTATTTATGCCTTTAAAGTGTACTTTATAAAGAGTTTTGAACATATAAAATACTTTATTTGACTTTTGTCTCACCTCTGGAAGGCATTAATTGGTTTTCGATGCATTCCTATGGGAAACCGTGTTTCGGTTTACAAATTTTTCTCAATACGAAACGTCCCGGAGACCGCATTCAATTTGTAAACCGAGGTCCCACTGTATTAGGAATTGGTATAATATGTGCTTGAAACATTTCATTCAGGACTTGGCAAAATTGACTAAAGTGATTAAAAAACTTTGTAAGAGAGCCTTTAATATTGTTTTTATTTATTAAAGCCCTCTGGTCCAGGAGCTTTATTTGCCGTAAGATTTTTTATGGCCTGTTCCACTTCACTATCAACAATAGGTTGATCTATTGTCACTTTAGGAAAACTATATTTTTGGAAAAAGTCCTCCATAACTACAGGGGGTTGTCTCTCGGAAAGATTGTATAATTCATAATAAAAAAATGTAAATACCTGACCGATTTCCCCATGATTAAGTAAAAAAAAAATTCCCCTTGCTTGATCTTGGCAATCGCATTTTTAGATCTATCATTTTTTATTTGTTTGTCATTAATTTATCTGCTCTGTTTCCTTTATAATACCACTTCCTTCTGATTTTATCAAGAGTATTATTTGCTTATTGCATTAATTGGATATTTATCTAATTCTTGGTTTCCATCAGCATCTCAGCTGTTTCTTTTGAGGAGTGACTAGTGTTTTCCCTTTCCAGATTTTCTAATTTTATATAAAACTCAGCCACGCTCTCACCTCTAAGCCTTTTCTCTTCGGTGCCCATTTTAATTAATAGACCTCTGATAGTGCATTTATATGCACACCAAATCTTTGGAATAGAGATATCTGTGTAGGCATTCTCCTTAAAGAAATTATCAGTAGCTTATTTGATTGAATTCAGATTTTGCTTCTTATACAATTAAATGTTAAATCTCCAATTAGATCCAGTTATGACAGTTTTATCATAAAGAACCATGATATCTGCATTATGGTCAGACAAACAAATGCCAATTATCATGATTTTTTTTTTTATCAACTTCACCAGATCTCTTTCTGCTAGAAAATAGTCCAATCTAGAATAGACCTGATGAGAGGAAAAAAAACAGGAGTAATCCCTCTCTTGAGGATGCAAAATACGCCATAAATTAACCAGCCCGTTTGTTCTCAAAATCTCATTAAACTGTCTTGAGAGAGTCTTAGTATGACTTTTTTTTGTCTATCTTAATTATAAATATTTTGAACTTTAAATGTCCTTATCAGGGATGAAAGAATTGCAAGTGCAGTTAGTTTTTAGTCACTGAGCGCTTCCTTTCTTTAGTTTCCCCCTTTTTTCTTTTCCTTTCTTCCTCTTTCCTTTTTTTTTCTTTCTTTCACAAGCTCTTATTAAGGTCGGATCAGGAATAATAGATAGACTTTGGGGTATAGAGGAGGGAGAACGTTTATAATTATCCCAAACAGGATTAGCAGACAGGCCCTGCGTGGAGCTTCCTGCCTGCCAAATTTTCACTTTTTTGGATCCCTTTCCTCTCCCCTACCTCCTATCTTTCTCTGATTTAATATTGCAGTGCAAATCCTTTTGGCTATAAAAAAAAATACCAGGTATTATAAGGTACTTATCAGTTATTTATCAGGTGTTTGATCGCCGTGGTGAGAACAAACTTCTTTCAGATCTCAGATCCCCATAGTGACAAGATTCTCACTGTGCCCTCAAACGCCTCCAGCACCTGTCAATTGTTCCAAAGTTGTCTTTGGAACAATTGAGCTGCATTGGGAAGTCTGTGATTGGACAGTCACAGAAAGACTGGGCTAGGTTGGAAGGGGAGAGCTTGCAAAGGTTTCAGAAAAGAGATCTGCAGCTTCTAACAACTGTTTTACATATATCCCCAATGAAAAGTATAATTAGATGCATTCATTTAAAAAAAAAAATCTTTAATTTTCGAGTAAGTGAATCACAAACTGGCCACAGCACTTCCACTTAACATAGTAACATGACATATGCAATACAAGACATCCTGGTGGTACAATTTGCTAAATTTTATAATACGGGCTGATAGGTTATAGCGAGGTGTGTGACTAGAATTAGGGGGAGAGTGGGCCACTTGTCTAGGTGAGTATATAAGCACTCCACTTGATAAACCATAAAGCCAGTAGAGTAAAGGTGCCTGGGTCACGGTGGTTAAGTGTTTTCTATGAGTGTAGTCTAGTCTGAGTAGCAATCTATAAGTGTGTGTCACTGTTGGGTTTTATGTAGTGACCAGGTCACTGTTCGATGGAGGTTATTGTTGTTAGCTTGCTGGAAACCACTTCGGTTTACAGTGTGCTATTTTCTAGCAAATGTTGCTTCAATTAAGCTGGACTAGGTCCGATGGTGAAGTGTAGTCGTTTTGTGAGATTCTAGGTGTAGACGTCTGTTCAGGAGTTTGTGTAGGAGCTTGGGTGCATGATATAGCCTATCTGGACCAGTAGGGTGCCAGCATGAGGGGGGGGGGGTTCTCTATTTGATTGTGTGGTGCAATTTAGGGAGGTCGGGCACCTATGGAGGTTGTACCCATTATGTAATGCAGCTAGCAGTCCCAGCTTGTCAGACATTGTGTGGCATATGAGGTCCCAAGGAGCTGCATGAGGAGCTTGTGGGGATTTAGAGATTCTGTATACCCCGTCGAATCCAAAGGTTTTGACCTGTCTTATTGGCAACACTGCGGCTGCTAGGCGTCTAATAAAATGAGGTAGCTCTTCCAATTGTATTGACTCCTTCACCCCTCTGATCTTGAGGTTCTTGCGTCTGTCCCTGTCGTCAAGTATGTTTATTTGTCAGGCCATATTTGCCTGTGTGGATTGCAGTTGTTGTATACTGTCTTCCACTGTGGGGAGGCTCTGTCTCAGGTCTGTTACTTTGTCCTGTGTCGCTTGAGTGTGTGCGGTTACCGCTTGCACTTCAGTAATGAGCGTCGCCAGATCTGCTTCCCACATCTACCTTAGGTTATGTTGGAAGCCTGCCAGCATCATTTGAATGTCACTTTTGGAAGCAGGTGCACAGTCGTGCAAGCCCTGATATGGTTCCTGAAGTTGGGGGCTCGGTGGGGGGCTATCTTGTTGGTCCCCATTTTCCGATGGTAGTGGTGAGGCCTCCTGGGGGGTCTGGGCCCTTGCTGCGTTTGGCATTTGCAGTAGTTGGCCTATGTCCTGCTGGGGTTTTGGGGTAGGTGGGGGCAGTTTTTGTGATTTGCATCCCATCTCACCTCTAAGTGGGGTGCCGGGTATTAGATCTTTTGGGTCGAGTGTTTGCCACGGCCAGGGCCCTCCTGCGATGTTTCAATATTGTCCACCCGCATGATCGGCCTTGCCGCCTCGGCATCTGGTTTTGGAGTCTGGGGACAAAAAGAACGGCGTCTACGGAGTCTGCCGGGTGTACCGCATGTGATGGCGTGTCTGGTTGCTAATTATGTAGCAGAATAGTTGCAGGGTACCTCAGATTGAAGTGAAAATACACGGAGCTCAGAGAAATGGCGTCTTCTCCGATGCAGCGTTAGGTTCTGTCCCCCGCATTCATGTTTTTATTGGGGGTATATCTACTAAATATTGATTTATTTATTTTTTAAAAATTTACATTTTTTATTTCAGCAGTGGAGTGTCCCTTTAAGCAAATGTGTATATACACTGATTTATCGTATGTCATAAGATCTTGCACATGGAGGATAGTAACATTGGTTGAAGTGGCCTTTAGTGTAATGCAACATTTTAAATAATAAATTATAATAAGGAGTGATGAATTTTGAGATTTTTTTTTTTATCCAAATGCATAGAGCCCAGTACGTCCTTGTTCGTTCACATGTCCTTATTCTTTGAACATAATTTGCCATTTTTTTTCCCTTCCCTCCATCTTGTAATTGCAATCTATTTTTGTTCACAAAACTATCTATATAATTTTTTAGGAAATTAATTGTTTAGTCTTTCTCGAGTCTCCAGTCTGGCAGCTCACTGTAAAGAAAGCACTGTCTTTTAATATTTAAAGGCTTGTTTTGGCATGTTCATCGTATATTAAGTACTCTCCTTCTCTGTGCCTTTGTATTCTACCAGTTTATTCCAGTCAATAGCTCCTGAGATTCTTAATAAATTCTACTAGGGAAAATCTGAAAAAATTGGCAGTAACATGAATGTTGATTTTAAAATATTAACTTAGTGTTGTTAAAGGAATTTATATAGAACATAAATAAGTATTGGTAAAATTGGAAGGGCAATGTCAAACGTGTGAAGGACATAACACCAGTTTAATTTGATAATACCTGATTGTCCATTAAGATACAGTAATGTGGGGGGGCGGGGCCTGGCCGCCGAGCTGGCCGGTCGCACGGCACAACAGCTCCAGCAAACCTCGATTAATAATCTCAAAATATGGACCTGTTGGATCCACCTGTCGACCTACCACGGTGGACTGGCACCTATGGAGACACTGGACCCGGGGAGAGGCTGGCAGCTGCTGTTTTGTGTGAAGGACATAACACCAGGGGGGGTACGCATCGCTCCCTCTGGATGAGGCCTACTCGGGCAGTGGGTGAGGCGGACGGCCGCTGCCCACTATCCTGCCCGATGCTATACAGCCAGACTCTCTCGGCTGGGCAGACCGGGCCCTGTTCCCCAGCGATTTAACAGGTGATCTAAGCGTTTATAAATTAAGCCTGCAATGCTAAGTATGATATTATTTATAAATCTTGGTGACGATCACATTAGCCTAAGACAAGCAGCTTCAGAGTTAATATTAAGCTACACACCAGCCCTAACAGACAAGCCTTG